TTCCCCAGCCAGCCATGCTGGCTGGGGAATTCTGGGCATTGAAGTCCATACAGCTTAAAGTTGCTGAGGTTGAGAAGCACTACCCTAAGCTTAGGCAGACTAGATTTTTTAAAATCCAGATTGACAACAATCTTAACAGCCTCTGCGCCTGTCCAAATAGAGCATCGATGCCAAGAACCAAGTACGATGCGCACGCATGGGAATTGCTTCAGCCTCACGTACAGTTTTGTCACTCAGCTGTGAAATGAATGGACCGGGATTGTAATTTTAGAGATAACATTCAGCGAAGTCTCTCAAAGTCTGGAGTCTTCTCAATGCATCCATATCCGTGTAATTTTTTATTCTCAATTATTTTGCGGTTCATTGGCGTTGGCAGCCCAGTGAACAGGAGCATGCCAGGAAGCTCCAAATACTGAATATTTTAACTTTTCTCAATTGAATGAAGAGGATTGCTCCCGCTGATTATCTCAAACACTAAACCTACTTTGAGAAGGTCTTCTCTGTACCAAAGATTTTAAGAAAACACCAGCACAAAGCTATCGGTTGGTTCGTGTTATGCCCACAAGGCATTCCAATCGAAGAAAGATTCTGCCTCCAGAAGTGGAAACGTTTGGCACATGTTTAGAGGCACTCAGGACCTCAGTTTGCAACCACTTTTGACTGGAAAACCAATTCACTGCCGGGGAGAATTTTCTGGGTTTAATATTTCTGTAGAAAAGGTTCCACTTTAGGCAAAAGTGACAGTTTCAGAGTTATACAAGGCTTGCTTTGCAGTTCATACTGTGTGTAACAGTCTACGGTAATCCAACACTGTTTCCGACATGTCAATGCAAGTATTTTTCCTCCACATATCAAGGCCTGAATTGCTTTGAACCCCCTGTTCATACCCCATAAAGTGGGCTAAAAATTTTTTTTCACATCGAACCAAGAGGCCCAAAGCCTTCTGCAGACTTGGATCACGCTTCCTCGGGGAGAATGATGTTCCGGAAACTTTTTTTTGTTTGTTTTTTATCTTTTACAGCAAACACAAACATACATAAACAAACAAGAACATAAAAAACATAAAAACCATCGCTTCCTCGGGGAGAATGATGTTCCGGAAACTTTTTTTTGTTTGTTTTTTATCTTTTACAGCAAACACAAACATACATAAACAAACAAGAACATAAAAAACATAAAAACCATCTTCCATCTTAAACCGTGTGTCAGCCAGTTACAATCATTTGTGCCATCCTTTCATAGTCTTCACTCACCATTTATATAGATTCTCATGTTATCTATCCAAACGTATATTGGAAACTCATTTATCTGTCCAAACCAGGTTAGGGAAGCCCATTGCTCTGTTCCCACAAGATTCCTGGCCCAAACAACTCAATCATCTTCCTGATCCCGGCTCGCCAAGCCGACCAGCCGCGCTCAGGAGCGGCCCCTCGGGCGCCCTCGACCGGCGCGAGCTACCCCGGAGCGGGGCGCTCTGCACGCGCCCAGAGGCCCGCGGGGCTCTTGGCTGCAGCGGCAGGGACCGCCCCTTTGTCGCGAGGCTTACTTTTCCGCGGCGCAGGAAGAGCGAGAGGAGAGCGGCCGGGCGGGCGGGGCGTGCGCGGCTCTGCCCCTCCTCGCTTCCTTCCTGCCTGCGCGCCCGGAGACCGCTTCTCCACTCCGCCCCGGAGGCGGCGCATTCCCCGCCCCGGCCGCTGCTGGCCCCGGCTGCGCCGTCCGGCCTCGGTCCGCGGCTGGGGAGGGACCATGAGCGCCTTGAGGGACGTCTCCCTGCAGGACCCGCGCCTCCGCTACGAACTGATCCAGCGCATCGGCTCCGGGAC